AAAAAAAAAACACATAAGTTGACATAAGTAATGACCGAAAATGAAAAATCTTGTCGATCATTTAAACTACTAATTTTGATGAAGCTCTTTTTAAAGAACAGTGGCACTGCTAAGTTAAGAGAGATAAAGCAAGAGTGTTCCTAGGCCAGCAATCGATCCAGGCTCGGTGCACTTTGCATGGAATGCGCCATACGAAAGACAGATTCAGGGAAGTTTATAAAAAATCGTTTAGAAAGTTTAAAAACCAAGATTAACTACACTGCTTCCAGAAAACAACTGAGAAAAAACAAAAGGGGCAAAAGTCTAATCGGTTTTCTTACAATCATTTTTGGCTGCGAACCATTCGATGTAAGAAGATAAAAGAAGATCCTGGACTGTCTATTGGCACCTTCCTTGATTCATGCTAGACGGGCAGTTCAGCATGCTGAACGCGAATCTACTGGTTTGGTAAGTACGGGAAGAAAGGTCAAAAAAAGCATGAAAAGGATAAAATCTGTAAAACATGTAGGTGTAAATATCAATTTTCAAGTACCAACGAATTCGGCAGTATCAAAGCACGGTGGCCGCAAAAACTGACAGCTCTAAGAATATTATATGGGTATTGTGGCTTAAATGTAGGACAGCGTGGCTAAAATTGCATCCGACTAAGCATAAATGGTACCGACCAGTGGAAGCCCGTCCAAGGATAACTATGTAGTGGAAGTCATGTAGCTAATTTACGTTATATGACGCGACATCGGGAGCAACAGGAATGGAGTACACAGTAAAAAGCCCCATTATTCTGCGCTCCGTTTGGGCCTTTAAAGCGGCGGACCAACAACTGGAGAATGAAGAGATGCTTAGAATCTCAAGTGAAACAGCCATTCTCGAAACAAACTAGATTTATCAATGTGCACCTAGATTTATCAATGTGCTGCAGAACGGTTGAGAAATCACTCTCCTGCCATTATCCCCAGAAATTCGAAAAATATCAAGCAATGTCCTTGGCATGTGCGAAACGTGACTTTGGGACGATTCCATTACAAATAAAAGTTTCCCCATTCATCACAATTTAGCGTCCCCAGCTTATTTTGGTTCTCTCAGGGTTCGTTTTGAACTCTGTGGTCAAATAAAAGTTTCTAAATCATTTCAACACATGCCCCATACCAACAACAACTTTGGAAGAAACAACAAAGGTTTCTTCCAGACAGGCCTTTGGTGTCAAGGAAAAAAGCTTTTGTTGTCCTACGTTTTTGGAAATTCTAAAAAAAATCTGTTGAAGCAATCAATACTCACTAATACCAGAGTTGAGAAAAATGACTGAAAAGAAAATTGGTTCTAGAAACGTCCAGAAAAAGCCGTCCCTATGCTTAGCGCAAAAGGTACTCTTAGACATTTGAGTTCATCAACGTAATCTTCTTTAGCTTACTTTTAATGTCTCGGTCAGTTGCGCATCATAATATGGTTCTCCAGCCCTAACTAACAACTTCCTTTGTTGTTTTGAGCAACGCCGCGTTACTTGGTGACTAACCTAACGTTAGTTTCGTTCCCCGAAAAGATTATTAGCCAACAATTCTCTTGTAGTTGTCAAGTCCTTAGATGAACAGTTAGCACTTGTAAAATTTTGTCCAGTGAGTAGGATCATGCAAAAGAAAAGCCTTCCATGGCAAACTTGCCAATTTAAAGACTTCTCATGTGTACTGCAGAAATCGAACGGTTTTATGACGGGGTCAAATCCTCATAGTCTAGATAAGTATTCAACTACTACATAAAAGTCCCATCTTGAAAACCACTTAACTGACGTTTGCTTCTCACACTGTCCGAGTGAAATTCAGACTTCGCTATTAAATCAGTTTAGCAAGAAGCAACAGTAAGAGTTTTCTTATTTTAACTCGAGCCCATAATCCTCAGTCCAGTATCAAGCGATGGCACAAAGCCCTTCCCCTTCCGTCTGAAAAAAAGCTGCGCAGTAAAAATTTCGTGAGTTCAATACTTTTGAAAATCCTGGGCGGTTTTGAGAGCACCTTTGGATTTCCAATCTTCCCTTTCTATGACAAACTCAGGTTCTCTGAATGCCTAACACCTTTAATGAGTAAATGAAACAAAAGATAGAGATACAGCTCCCGGAAACTGTTTTAAAAATGCTGAGAAAACCAATCAAAATATTAAACAAATTTTAGGAAAAAAAAACTGCAGAGTAAAATGAGCAGCGATTCACACCAAACATTCCCCAAGGGAGACAGAACCAACGTCAGAATCGCCATCATCGAAAATGCAGCATTAGTCAAAACAGCTGGAAAAGTTGACAGCTATGACAGATGATGAAACACTGCTGAACCAAGCATTCCAAAAAATAAAAGAATAAATAGTCATTCCGAGAAAAGATCAACCCATTCAAGCACAAATTGCATTCACAACACAAGCCCGCAGAAATCGCTGCTGTAAAGTGTGTTTGAGAGGCCCGAACGAGCAAGCCGATGGAGGGATTGATGGATAAGATGCTTGAACAGATCGAAAAGAAGTCGTGGGCGGATAAATTCACTTCAGAGCTCAACAGACAGCCACAAAGCTGCTGTAAAAATATGTATGAAGTATTCCTTCCGGATCAACTGTTCCAGGCCAGAAACCGAGCAGAAGTAGATGACGATGAAGGGGAAGCCGGAGAAGGGGAGGGCATAAGCAAACGCAAAGTAGCACCAGGAGCAGAAGCAGGACTCGGCGCTATCCTTAGCATGCCTGCAACAGCAGCAGCTGTTCATCAGATCAGTCCACTACATATACATTTTATCTATTCACATTTTATCTTGAAATAAAAAACACCATCATGCCGGGTATCAGGACCTGGGTTTCCGGGGAATCAAGGAAGACAGGCTTTACCTTTAATAGTTCGTCCGTTTGTCTCGATGGTAAACCAACTTCCTTCTAAACAATCCCTCGAAGGAAGCAACGACATCGTTGTGAGCAACTGGTTGTTACTGGCGTTTAGTGTCACTCGTGCTATTGCCCAGTGCTTCTATCTTTCATAAGGAGTGACTGCCGGGATAGTTTTGACTTTGACTATCGCTCGATGCTTTTTTATGCGTTTTTGCATATTTGCAAATGCGAAAACGCATATTGCGATGA